TAATTTTTTTGTGTTGTAAGAATTTAAGAAGTATTTAGATAAAAAGAAAGATGGGTGTTTTTTTTTTTATTTGTTATCTAAGAGATAAGTTTTCTATCACGTTTCAGCTGGAGAAAGTTTTGGTATTAGAACTGTTATTCTGATGTTGTTTTGAGAAAGGTAGAAACTTAGATATTAACGTGATGTAATCAGACTAATAATATATATATTGGTATCTTTACATACAAATTTAAAAGATTTCGGCATGACTCATGTAAAAGTTGTTCAAGAGAACGAAGAACTGTTGTTTTGTTTGGAATTTATATTTTCCTTGAATGGCTCATAAGTTATGAAGGAGTATATGCTTATACTGTCCCTGTTTGTACACAGGGCTATGAACCACCATTTAGCTGATGAAGAACAATTACACGTCTGAGGTTAAAAATATTTACTTGCTTCATCCAGTTTAAGTACTTCCATGTGTGGGAGGCTTATTTTGCCTTGATACACAAGTTTATTTTTAGTATATAGATGCATGAGAGTTGCTTATTGATGTGTTTTAATATTATTATTATTAAGGACAACTCTGTGATGTCGATCTGAGAAGTTTAAAGAATACATTCTTTACTTTACTTGGAATTTCATTTTTTCTTTTTCTGTTTTGTGTATTCATGTACGTTTATAATTATTACTAATAATACACTCCATTGAGTTTCTCATTTGCTCATTTTTAACTTTGTGTCTGGAAATAAATGGTAGATCCAAGTAATAATACAAATCCTTGTTCATGATAATTTATGATATTAATAGCACCCATGCTACAACTATGTCTGTTGTATCTTAGCTGACCTGATGAGACCTGGTATTGAACAAAAGGCCCCATTGACACTAAGTATGGCAGATTTAGTGTGGTTGATGTATTATAACATAGTCTTTTTTTTTGCTTTGATTTATAATTTCTTAGAATATGTAATGTAATGGATAAAATAGCGTGATTACACTCTATAAATGTGTAATGGATAAAATAGCCTGATTCCACTCTATGAATGTGTAATGGATAAAATAGCCTGATTCCACTCTATAAATGTAATGGATAAAATAGCGTGATTACACTCTATAAATGTGTAATGGATAAAATAGCCTGATTCCACTCTATAAATGTAATGGATAAAATAGCCTGATTCCACTATAAATGTAATGGATGAAATAGCGTGATTACACTCTGTAAATGTAATGGATAAAATAGCGTGATTCCACTCTATAAATGTGTAATGGATAAAATAGCATGATTACACTCTATAAATGTGTAATGGATAAAATAGCGTGATTCCACTATAAATGTAATGGATAAAATAGCCTGATTACACTATAAATGTGTAATGGATAAAATAGCATGATTACACTCTATAAATGTAATGGATAAAATAGCATGATTACACTCTATAAATGTAATGG